GCTGGAATTCATCTGGAATGCCCCACTTCAGGAGATAATTCAAGTAGAATTAGCATCAACCTTGAACAGATATTCCTATTGCCTGTTTCAGGTTTGACCTGGTCAATAGGTGCGTGTTAAGAATAACATTTGCATGGAGGGTTGCGAAGAAGCACAGGGTTGTGCCATGAGATGATCGTGTGTAAGAAGACAGTCATGTGTGTCACGTCAGCGTTCACAGGGCTGCCTTGTGCTACTCCTATTACAAATGAGAGCGATAAGACCTCAAGAGCACGTTGCTATTCTTGGAAACAAAAATTTCTTCTGAGGAGACTGTTTCCTGTCTTTGCAGCCAGAAAAAGAAAAACATTTGACAAGGCTTTTTGCAAATGGAGCTGAGAAAACGGATAAAAAACTAATGTTCCCTGATTTCCGGCTCTGGTATGCTTTAATCGCTGACTGTTATTTTTAGGAATCATTTGTAACAAAAATGGAGATAGAGTTTGAATTGGAGAAGGAAGTACAGCATTGGTAGGACTGCATTTATATTGACTACCAATATGAGCTGAGAATGCTGGTGCAGAAGTCAAAAGCAATTGTTTTTTCAGTGTGTTTGTATTTTCTAGTTTGTTTTATAGGGCAGTTTGTGTTTGTTTATTTTGAAAATTCTTAAATAGGATGTTGTCAAATGAGCCATGTGCTATGCATATAAAACTAAGATTATTTTTCTGGCTATTTCTGATATAAACAGACTGTAAGATACACAAATCTTAACCATGCTATCAATTGTTGTTTACTTCCTTAAGAACAACAAGAGTGTCTTGTTACAGCCTTTCTTAAAATGTTTCACATGGTCATTTTAGTGATACAACATAAGCAGCCCCGTTGTGCTGGTAGTCTGTATGTTTCAAGCAATTATTTAATTTAAAACTACTCAAGAATTCTTTGGCAAAATCATTGGACTGTGTTGGCCTTCATTAGGTGCTTTTAACTACATCTTGCTTTTCTACTGCTCCTCTCAAAAGGTCAGAAAGAAGAGGCGAGGCATCTTCTAACAAGCTTTTGTTGCCTGCTCTGTGAGCTGTGTGGCTACGTAAACCCTCCTGCATAGCAAGAAAGTTTTTCAGAAATATCCCACTGCTACTTATCGTGGTGGTGTTGGCAGGCACAGACACCGGATTGTAGGTAGCTCGCTCCCTGCTCCCAGTGTTTTGATCAGCACGGATGAAATCGGAGCCTAACAAAAGTCAATGAGAGTTCTGTCTTTGATTGCGCAGCAGCCAGGATTTCTCCCCAGCTGTTACAAACGCAGTCAGCTTGGTAATGAGGGGAGCACACTGACTGCTGTGACTTGATTGGGGAAAAAAAAAAGACTACTTGTGCATGTGGTGTGTCTGTACATGGATTTCCTGCTTTTCCTAAAACTCTTCTTCCTTTACCTTAGCTGAATATTCTTGGAGGTGAGAGTTTTCAGAACATAATAAATGCTTCTTAAAAAGTTGATCTAATCCAGTCTTCATACAAGCAATTTAATACTGTGCTGAAAATCTCTCAAGCCTTAACAACACTGGTGAGATCATGAGATCGGCTAAAACCTAGATTATTGGGTCTTATCCTGCGAGCGTAGACCGGAGGGCGATGGCCAGTCAAAACACAGCCAGTTACAGATTATTCGGAGCGCCCTGCTCTGAGCAGGATAGCATCCTGCGACACCCAGGAGACAAGGACAGCTGTAGTCACTCATGGTTTGAGGTCATGTGTAGTAATGCTGCTGTTTAAAGCTACTTCATAGGTTTTGTACTTGGATGAAATATCTTTCAGGGAAGTCTTAAAGTCGGCATGGTGATTTCTAGCTTAAGTCTTCCAGAGGATAGGTCAAAAGGTGATTTAGGGAAATAGAGTAATGAGCACTAAAGAAAAACAAACAGAAGAAAACCAAACCACTTTCACTTTAGCGTGTTTTTAGTGTGTGCTTTGAATGCTGTGGACATGGCTGAAGAGTCTGGAGGAAATCATGGCATGTGAGCAACCAACACCACGGCTGCCAATGTCTTGCTGGCACACTTGAAGGCTGTGATTCATTAGTTTGGTATCTTGCTTTTAATCTGAGTTTTTAAATAGAAAACTTGATTAGGGTGCATTATTTTGAGGAAAAAGTAATATTCTGCACTGTATCAGCTAGTCCAAATTCATGACTGTGTGTGCTGCTGAAATGCATGTGATTAATTAAATGATAGTTTTTCCATACGATTTGCTAAATCATTTGCCATGTTCACGTTTCCTGAATCACCAGGTGTAGAGTAACCAATTATTTCATTCTATTAAAAAACCACTAATTCTTTAGAACTTGTATCTTGAAACTTTATCAAGGAAATGTTGATATTACATTTATTTTTGCTAATTTTTTTTTTAGAAAAAAATACTAAAAGACATTTGCTGTTTAAGAAGGTTTTACAGTAAAGGAAGTGAGTTTGCGGAAGTTGAAGATAGTACAGAGTCTGAGGAAACTGGAGGCTTCCTGTATGACTTTGAGCAGATCGCTTTACTGTCTCAATTGCTTTACCTGTAAAATGTGAGCAGTGAAGAAATATAGTTGCAAAGTCCCATTTAGTTGCTTTATACAAAAACAGATTTTTAGAAGGCAGAAATTTTCCTGTGAGAACAAAAGAGCTTGCAAAAGCAGGAAT